ATGATTGATTTTGACATTGCTTTGAAGCTCTGTCCAAAATATCTAATTTCCTTAAAAGACTATGACCATATATAGTCATGATGCAACTATATTTGGTCATGGTATGATGTCATGACCATATTTAGGCATGTCACATGTTTTTGTCAAATAAAATTTGATAGTCTGGTCAGGACTTTGGAAACATTGTATATTTTTTTAAAGAATATGATTTTTGGTTGAAGAGGTCTGTTGAGTGTGCTGAGCTATACAGTGTAAACTTGAACAATGGAATTAAGTGCTTGCTATATATTTATGTAATTTTTTACCACTTAAATAGAAATAATTTTCATTTTAATCAACATATTCACAAATAATTATATTTGTAAGAACTAAGACCCTTTTAAAATGTAATAGATTTTTTTTTTTAAATTGTGAAAACTGAATTGTTTTAATCTATAATATTTCATTAGATTGTTCCCTTTGTAAATCAACGATTCAATATTTTTATTAAATTTTTTAGGGTTTCCATATTTTACAATAAATGTAGGCTAATATAGGTTTCACCAAAAATAAGTGATAACAAATTAGCACTTTTTGTAGTTTGAGTGATGATTATCTGTTGTGGACTTTTTGCCCAGAGGACCAAATGTGAACTTGAGATTTGTAGGAGAGGAAGATCACAATATACATGCCTAGTTGATATTTAATAGTAATAGTATTATGTTGATTATATTTCAATGAAATTGCAATTTTACTGATAACCAACAAAAAGATGAATTTTTAGTGTCTTGAATGTGTCATAAAAAAGAAAAAATGTCTTGCATTGTCTCGCATATATTGTGATGAAAAAATGCTCGCATATTGTGATGAAAAAATGCTCGCATATTGTGATGAAAAAATGTCACATGTATTATGATGAAAAAAGTGTCTTGCATATTGTAATGGTGATACATTATTATAAAAAAGCATTTTTGAGGCCAAGTTGCTTAAAGTGTCCTTGAAAACTAATTAATGCTGATGTAGGTTTTATATGAACTGAAGGTTATCAATTTCTTTTAAGTCGTCTTATATAATAATAATTAGCTCAAATTATAAGCACATACAGTAGTATCTTCCACATTGGCTGAACTTGCCGTTCTCAAAGATTCAATGCTAATTAGGCCGTAAGTAAGCTTTAATTAGACGACCATAGACTACATAATTAGAGTAAGTTAATGAGAACGCAAGACTTAACAAATCATTAGTCGTGTCCCGATGAGGGCATGGCTCTGCTAGCTTGTTACTGATGTTCTAATCAATTCGGTGGAAATTGTCTTCTCCGCAAATTCTATAATTACTCACAAACTGGTGTAAATCTATCGAATGAGTGCTCGGAAGCTTGTTCAACAAACGAAACATCTAACACTCGCTGATAATATTCAGTGTGAAGGGAAACTGACTACATCCTCTGCTGTGATGGGGACGTGTTGTATTACTACAAGATCTTCGCTTCTCTACCTGTGATATGTTTATAAACAAAACAACGGCCTTTCCTTAGGAATGGTGTTAGGTGTTCACTCTGGGTATGATTTTCAGGTATCACCTCACAATGCTCCTGATTTTATCATCGGAGCTGGCACGCTGTCATACCTCCTAGCTAGGATTTCAATCCCGTGTCTTACTAAGTGTTTATCAATAGCAGCTCTGTAGCATATTATTATGAACTTACTACAGCTGGGGAATCACCTTTTCACAGAACGATTGTCAATCCTATTTTATACTGACCAATGACAGAATGTCCTATAATTTTTAGGGGACAAACGACCAATCAAAATGTAATTTTTTTCTGCACTGCATGCCTAATACAAAGCATATCTTTATTCTCAATAAAATCATGCCTTGGGCTTTTGCCTGGAAAAGGGGCTGGTACATAAAATTGGAAGTACAGTAGGGGTTGGTTTATACCTGAAGTGGGCTTATATTACCCGATGAACTACTACTATGGTAGGCATACTCCTGAATATAATGAGGCCCTTTATTATTGAGGCCATGTTTTATTATCTTCTGTATAGATATCATTTATTATTTAATAACTGGATACCCACTAATGAGGTTGGTACCAGCCACCCGCTAATGCACTAGGTACCAGATACCCGCCAATGCGCTGAGTATTACTGTAGATGCATGCTGTGTACCAGATGCATACTTAATGAACTGTGTACCAGATACATAGCAAGTGCACTATGAACCAGATTTATAAAAGTAAAATTAAATCCTAACATTCAAATATATTTTATTACATAAAAAGGATAAAACAAGTTTATGAAAAATTAGAATGAAAATAGTCTATGAGACTAATTTGGAATAAAATTCAATATTTTAAATTGTTAACTGAGTTAATAATTAAAACGTGGAAGACTTCTTGTTAATAATTAACTTAATATTATTATTAGTAATTACTATTCCTGTACACTTTGTGCATCCTTAATTGGCTAATAATTTATTAGGGCCTATAGTATAAGTTGTGTAACTTATTCCAACCAATACAATGTATTAATGAGCTTTTTTTTTATCAAATTTCTACAGACCGTATCTTTTAAAGCAGTGACATGATTTGATGCAGTCTAGCAAATCCGTTTTCGATACTGACCTATTCCTGTTGATTGGTCATGCAGACCTTACTGGGGCAACCCCCAAGGCCGAACTTATTGATATTCTTTCATGCTCTATTTCTGTCCTGTGAGTTTTCCTGACCATCATTGTCAAGGCCTCAGTTTGCAATCCATTGAAGCTTGACCCTTTACAACTCTAAAATAGGTTCCCACTACATGCCTGTCTATAGTTCAACAGTGTTTCTATAAACAAAAACAATACACCACATTCTTGTTGCAATGGTGGTCTCTTTGACCTAATTGGCCAAGGGCTTAAAATGCATCTGATAGTAATTACTTTCTCTTGCAATATGGTGTCATCTCCTCAAAAACATCATCATCATTATCAACAACTTGTTCACCCCTAGTCTGGAATAGACGATAATCATAATCCCTGATCTACAACTATATTTGTTATATATTTTCTGACATTGTTTAAAGGTGTGAAGATAAATTACTACAGTATTTAGATAGTTAAAACAAAACGATATCTTGCCCTTGGTGGCTGTATTCTATTTTGTTTATTTTTTAGCGTGTTGTGTATTTTGATTATTGTAGTTGGTACATATTGTGAGTGTTTTGTTGTGTCTAGTAGATAAATCACTGTTGGCTAGATATAAGTTTAGCTCTGGTATTTTATAAATTGTTTCTCAGAAGCTCATTTGTTATCATCAGCATACCTATGTGTCTAGGGTTTCACAGGTTTTTTTTTTTTTTTTTCATTTTCAAGTTTCTCAGTTTAAATCAATATACTACACTTATTTTTTATAAGAGCATGTACAATTTTGCCTAGGCTAAGTGTCCTTATATTTTTGCCAATTTCAGGCTCAAAATGTTCTTATTTTGTTTTTATTTTACACACTTTTCGAAGACAGAAAAATATTATTGTATATCACCGTATAATACTGTATTATAGATGGTATTACATAAGGTAGAGATAAGACAAAACTAATTTTTGTAGTATGACCCATATAAATATTAATGATTATTTTCTATAGGGTATGTGACTACATTAGCTTGATTTGTTGCTTTTTCTAGGTGTTTTTTTTTTTTTTTTTTTCAAATAAAACCGCATACATTTCATCTCAACCTCAATTTGTTCCTATTTTTAAGAAATTTCAGCCTCGGTGTTTAATTTACAAAATGTGTTCTTATGAGAAAAAAAAATGTAACTCATGAAAATATTTAGTGAATCATATTAAATCAACATTACCCCAACGAAGCGATGCAATGCATGTTAGGCTTACACATTGTGTTTTGTCACTGGTTTAGAAGCATTTCTAATTAGCTCAGGTATAAAAACACCTGTGTTTTGAGGTGTACGGACAGGTACACGCACGCTAATATTGCAGCGATCAGCTTAAAGCTCGAGTGAGCGAGTGACTTTAATTTGTCCAGTGATATGTTAGATTTGCATTAATGCTTTGTGATTATGTTTATCAATGATGTGTGAATGGGTATGGAGAATGTCAAATAATTTGATAATTAGATCTTAACTACTGGTTTCAACGTATCATTTTTGGGTATTTAAACTTAAAACTAATTTCAATGTAGTTAAATGTTTCTGTTTTAAATTCTATTAAAATTGGATTAACATTGCACAAGTGTAATTTATTTTATGATTAGTCTTTATATTAAAAAAAATACTCCATTTAGTGAAAAATTAGTCCAAATTTGGAATAGAAAACAAAACTTCATTACTAATACTAGCATACTGTGGTTCCTCTGGTATAATCCTATCTCTCCCTCTCCCCCTTATTTGGAATAGAAAACAAAACTTCATTACTAATACTAGCATACTGTGGTTCCTCTGGTATAATCCTATCTCCCCCTCCCCCCCCCCTTCAATACAAAATTGGGCCAAATTTTGGGGGTGGGTTTGTTTCTGGGGAATTTTCTTTTTATTCAAAAGGCAATTTTTTAGCATTGGCAATTGATTTAATTTTCTGAGAGTTTTTGTGAGATAGCTAAGCTATTGACTAACGTCATACCCTGGGCTTTTGCTTGAGGAAAGGCTTGTACTTAAAATTTGACATAGTAGGGTGTGGGCTTATACCCGAGGAACTACAATATTAGTTGCTATGGCAATTGGACTGCTAAATGAGGTTAAGCTGCTATCAGTCCTACTGTACCCCCTTGGATTTTCCCATTAAGGACATTTTTTTTCTTGAGTTATTGTATGTGATAGTATATAATAATATTTCTGCTGTTGTATAAGATATCTGTTGCTATTGTTTAATGTAATGTATTGTTCCTGATGTTCATGAATGTTTTTTTAATTATCTACCAACACTTTCTCTTTGTAAAAGGAGGTTTATTTTATGTGTACCCTGAAAGGCAATTGTGAATTTGAGCTGTAATTTGATCACGATGGTTTCTTTGTTTTAACAGATCAACTTTCAAGAATTCCTGAAGATAAAAAAACAAAGCAAAACTTTCCAGTAGAGAAAAATTAGCAGACGATATTCCGTAGTAGTGTATAGGATACCTCCTGCCCTGAAGAATTACTTAATTGCCACCTTCCGCCTTGCACTGTATACAGGTATGTTATTTATGGGCAGGTGAGAAATGCTTGATTTAATGATAATGGAATTTTAGTTAATGAAGGATTATGGGATATTTTAATTAATTTTCATTTGGCTAAATAAGGAAAACTCATTTTTCTTATCCTTTGTAATTTCAATAGAGTAAAAGTTCCTTTTCTTTTTATAAATATTCAAATCCACATTTTTATTTCATGCACATTTATAAATACAGTAGTTAAATTTCTGGTAAGCTTGCGGACTGATCTATCAGTTTTCCATCCCTTTTTGTTTTGCTGTTTCTGCCTTATTAAATCTGAAGGAGTTGATTCTTAAAATGGGGCCACCACAACACACATGCAGTTTTATTATTAAGTAAATGACAGCCGCACTTTTGAGACTAACAATATGGAATTTATTCTCTAGCTTTCGTCCACACAGTGGACTTCATCAGGAGACTGTTCAAATGGGATAAGAAGCAACTATAGAATTTATTCTCTAGCTTTCGTCCACACAGTGGACTTCATCAGGGGACTGTACAAATGCTGCTATCATTTACTTTGTATTGTTCTATAACGCAGCTACATTTTTATTCATCATGAGTTGTATTGTAGGCATTGATCAGGCCTAGAATCTTGAAATGAACCTTAAAAGCAATCAAATAGGTTATTTTCCATTGACACATAAATGAATAGGTTTTTCACTATTTTTGCCGACCTTTTACAACAGAAGTCTATGATTTTTTTCCCCTTCTGTTGCAACATTCAACAGGTTACCTAAAATATTAGCAAATAAATGTCTCCTTATGCAACAGGTAGGTATCATATTTCTATGATAATTCCTGACAACCAGGAAACCAATAGCATTTTGATATTTTTTTTCTTGTGTGAGTAATGAAATGTTCATTCCAATTGGTTCCTCTGAAACAAAAAAAAATTATGGTTGTTATGCAATATCTTATAATACTGGACGAATTGCAATGTGATTTTGGTTTTTTTTTTTTGTTGTTTTTTTTTTAAATAATTTTGAAAAGGATATTAATAATATGTAAGGTGAAGGATGGTGGGCATTCTAATTAGTGAATAATGAGATTACTAATTAATTTAGCATTATAGGATCATTGAATTAATGAAGGACAACAATCATTGTAGTATATTAAACGATTATGGGATATTCAAATGAAAAATTGTGAAATATTGTAATGAAGAATTGTGGGATATTCTAATTGATAGAAGATAAAATGAAAAATCATAGGATATTATAATTAATGAAGGAGAAGGATATGTATATTTGTGATATATGTAGTGAGGATTGTGGGACATTATAATTGAGGATTTCTGGGATATTTTAATTAGAGACTAGAATATTATAATTAGTAAAAGATTGTAGGATTGTAATTAATGAGGGATTATAGCATATTCTAATTCATAAAAGGCTGTGGAATATTTTAATATATGAAGAATTGTGGAATATAATACTAATTAATGAATGATTGTAATTTACGAAGGATTTGGGATATTATAATTAATGAATGCTTGTGGGTTATTCTAATTAACAAAGGATTTAATGTTATATTATAAATGGGCATGCAAATGCATTATGGGATGTTAGTGGTAAAAGCATTATGGGATATATTTTATAAGTAGTGAAATAAATTGTATGCGCAGGTGAAGTATAGCGTAGAATTTTCCAATGTAAATTTGACTTGAACTATGAAGGGGGCACTAGAAATTGGTTAGTTAAGCATAAGGGGTTAGACTCCTGTTGTCGTCTTGCCTTAATATCAATTACAAGTATATTGATTTAAGTGACATTTAAATGGTTATGTGTCTTGCCCTGTGTGTTACCTTCCGCTTTGCCAAACTTCCACCAAACTGGTTAAAATTACTTCAAAGTACAATTTAGACACCAGCGTATAATTGTTTTCTTTTATGAAAGTAAGAGAAAACATGGTTTTTTTTATAAATGTTAACCTAAAATACAGTAAGTAGAAAGGTATTTAAATAATACAAAACAGTTATTTGCTAATTAGATATAATTAATATAATTAATTAATAAAAATAAAAACTAATATAACTTAAATAATTTTTATCATTTTGTAGCTCTCATTTAAAATCTCTATCCTCTATCGCCATGTTATGAATTAGGATTACAATTTATTAGCATCCTCATTGGTGATATTTACAACATACATGACATGAAACATTTGATAAATGATGTTAAGACAAAAGGGGTCATGCAGGTCTCGTTCATCAGGAGCAGATCCCCTAAGCCGACTAAAGCTTTAGGCCTGGAAATAATTATTCCGGTATCGTTTCAAAAGCCTCATCATGGCAGAAATTAACTCTGATAGGCCAGATCAACTGGTTTCTTCAAAGTTGACCAGGCCTCAGCAGGAGCAGGCCCAGTCCTGCACTGGTGAACACCTGGATAGGGCTCGCGGGAGACACTGTCTAAACCTGGAATGCGAATATTTAATTACTTAGTGCATTGAGATAAATTACAGATTTCCCACCATGTTTGGTATGGAAACAGAAATCTGCCTACTGGTTCATAATTTGTGGAATTCAATCTCAAAATTAGATTACTCTTGATGAGATTTATTCTGGTGTCTGATCACTGTGACCAATTATACAGAAATGGCTGTCGGCCGTTAATCAGTAAAGAATAAGATAGCACTATAAACATGAGAGCTAGAATTCCAGGCTGACAGCTACGGCTTGTATTCTCTCGTTGATAAATTGATTAACGAATATGACTTGGGTTTGATTATTTAGCAAATAGATATGATAGTTTTCGAGTTGTTTCTAAGCTCGTAGCACCACCAGCTAAGCGAGTTGATGAGTTTCGCAATGCCAAGGGCCAGTCCCGGAGGCTGTAAAGCGATGCTGTTACACCAGCGTTTGATAAGGTCCTGACTGTTAGATGGCCTCCGTGTGTGCCTTTATTTAGAAGCACACACTTGATGAGTATGCAGGTTGATAAAATAAATTAACTCTAAAAAAAAATAGGATGTCGAACAAAAAGATGATGAAACCTTTAGAAAAACATGTGGTATTAATTAGTATTTCAAGTGTCTTATTGTTTGAAACTAATTATTACAATAAAGTTTTAATTGAATTATATTTCATGAAGGTATATAATTATTGTAATATATATTGATTTAAACTGGAAGTGGAATTTTTAAGGCCATGTAAAGGAAAATAAGTTGTTGATCGTCCCCTCTCTACATAACCGAAAATCTGCCGACCAATTTTTTTTTTTTTGCCAAAACTCACAAAAATATCGTCTTTCCTCCCATAATTCTATGTCAGCTATGCCTAGGCCTTTTTTTTGTGTGTAATTATTTTCTCATTTGTCAGCCACTATTTACATAAGGCCTTTACAAAAAAAAAAAAAAAAAAAAAAACTTCTTTCCAACCAACCTTTTTTGAAAAGAAAAAGGACAATCAACAACTCTTTTTACATGGCCTAATATTGTATCCAAAAGGAAAAAAAAAATGTAGAAGCAATAAAAAAAAAAATACTCCTGAGAACTGTACATTCTGCTCATGTGACATATATTGAGGATGCGCATGTATGTTAATTATGCCCCACTTGAGTTTTTACTCATATCCTTAAATTGCTAAAAGCTAAATTTAAAAAAATGACAACAAAGATAATAATAAATAGCTTCTATATGGAAAGAGCCAATGATAAAAAGATAGTATTTAGTAAACAAGCCCATGAGGGTAAGCTTTTAAACCTGTTGGCTATACATAATTAATTTGCATATATTTATGAAAGTTTGAGGTTTAGGGTCAAATTGCTCGGAGCCATGTAACTTTACTCATCACCGGCATGCTATCAAACAGATGTGGAGCGAACACATTGATGTTTAGCAGTTTCGTAAACTCGCTTGATACTTTTGGATAATTAAGAAAATGTAGATGTCACTCATTTTTTTAGGGCAAATTATTCAAACATGAATTCCAGATTAATGTGGATAATTGATTCCGTGGATAATCTACCGGAATCCTGGTGTGCCTGCGACTGTCATTATATAGATTTCACATTTACAGCTTTGTTTTCCTTAACCTCTCTGCTTAAATTTCCCAGAGCTAGTACCCGCCATCATCATTCATAAGTGGATTCAAGTGGAGGCAGTTTCAGCCATCCTGC